CAAATGCGATTCACTCTTGAATTCACTAGAGAGAGAGACACAAAAACAAACCACAGAGTAGCATTTAATTTACTTTGTTTAATCCATAAGGGCTTTCGAATGTATTTTCTGTTGACGCGTGATAATAACGACGGGTGTCGCACGTGACGGGTGTTAATCCTCGTTGTTCAATCATGGTGCTGATTGTGATACAATCACTGTTACCCGTGGACGCAGAAGAAACCCATGTACGTTAGAGGCTGCCTTCCGTAGTCTGCGCAGGTGAACGTGACGCAGAATCTATTTCAAAAGAACGTACACGGATGATCGGCGTATAGCGGAAACTTTCAATCGGCCAGTGCTCAATTCATCGTGAGAATTTGACGTTGTTTTAAAAGCTTGTCTCTCCACTAGCCGTGTCTTTTCTCCGGGAAGTCGGCGATCATCGCCCTCCCTCCTTCCTTCCTTCCGTTTATCTCCGTCCGTGATATTTACTCAAGAACTGTCTGAATTGGCTACCACCAGCTGCATCCATTTGTTCAATTTTTTTTTTGAATTTAATTCGTCATCCTCCCTGACTTCTTCCTCCTGGAATTGTCCCGATCATAAATAACTAATTAAGATTCATGCTCTCCTTGTCTCGTCACATGTCCAAGAATTGATGTGATTTTAAGGATTTGTTTTAAAAGCCACGATGTAAAGTCGATATTTTACTTGAGAAAGTCACCATTTCACATGGAATTAGGAAATATCTTTTTTGCAAAGTGGTGCATTTTAAGCTCTGTCATATTTAGAATTCGCATTTTAATTTTCATGGTTATATGCCGTAGGTTTACAATACTGTGTGTAAAAAAATCACATTCGTCAAAGTATACTTTAGTTACCTTTTTAAGTGAAGAATAAACGTCTTTCCTTTGCAACGTCTTGAAAATAACGATGTGGCGAGTCATCTTGATAATGAATAAAAACTGTTTATTCACTTCGCTATTCAGCCGGGTGGGTGGTGGCTATACACGTGGCCTGTGTGAGCCAGCCACTTCTTGAGGTGAGGGTTGGTGGGTCGCGAGGAGGAGCCCCCACCTGTTCCGTCTACATGGGATCGAGTGTTGCACCCTCACGCGTGTAGGGTTTTTCTCCAGGAGCTCTGGCTTCCGTTCGTGAAAAATGTCTTCATACGTAGAGGACTGTAGAGCTTGGGAAATTGTTGCTGCTGGCACACCGTCCTGATGGCGTTCCACTCGTCTTGGGTTCCTCGTGCCTCCGAGTCATTCTCTATCACTCCTTCAGTTGACACTGATCCTCGATAGTACAAACTGGCACGATTCAGGTCACGATTTGATTCTAAGATCGGTTCCCCGTTTGCATTTTTTGGATTCGTGCAGACTACGCACTGGCATGAATCTATATTTACAGTAGATATATTAAAAAAATCATTCATGGGAAAAAACATGCACAAATCGTAATCGATCGGTCCTTACATGCGGGATTTGGTGCACGCATTGACCGGCATGGTGAGGTACGGTGAAACAACTCCCACGACCCGCACGGCGCGGGGAGGCCATCATCCAGTTCCTCGTGAATGGACCATCATGTGAGCAGACTGACCGCCAAGCAACGCCAGAGCGCATCGCTGCGTTAGTTTGTACGTGACGCGAGCAAAAACTGTGGAAATTATATTTGTTGAACGACGAACAATGCCGAATCGCAGGCCAAGGATGTGCGGCGTTAATCGTTTGATTTTGTGAGCGACGCATTGAATAATTTCACGTGACGTGGTCGTGCTTGGCTGTGAACGGCATCGTGGTGTGCACAGTTCGATCGGCTGCTCGTGTTTTCCCCGTAGCAAGGTCGTGTCGTAACCCACACTGCGTCACCTCGCACCGACTTCACCGAGATGCACTGCCGTTACCCACAATTCACAGTATCACCAGTCTACACACACGGTGCAGAGATGTTACGTTCAGAGAAAAATATGATGACACAATTTAAAACAGTAACCACGCTAAAAAAAATATTTTGTTCCCAGCATTTCATTGTAATCTCCAACACATCACCCCTTGAACCTTCGCTAATTGGCTGCGCACCTTTCCGTTTGTGATGTGTTGGATCACTGGTTGTCGGAGCAAGCATTGTATCCCACACGTCTGGTAACCTGCCAACGATAGTGCAGCAAGACGGGCCTCTTTCGGTTATTTTTGCATTGCTATTGTTATTATTATTTTATTGTTTCCCTTCTACGTGACTTTACCGAAATAACCAAGAATATGAATCCCTGCAGTCACGAAAGAAGCTTTAAATCAAAATTGCTATTGTTCTTTTTCTTGGTTCTTTCGGTAAAGTCACGTAGAAGGGAAATAATAAAATAATAAAAATAAAACATAATAAAATACAATTCTCACGACGTTTCGGCCACAACGCAAGCAGCCGTCCTCAGGTGAAGAACATGTCTGTCGGAAAAGACAGCGTCTGAATGAACACCACCAAGCTTGGCAGCGTATATTTAAGCTGGGTTATTGTTATAGTTGTTGACTTAATTCGACGAATGCCGTCCTAGGCTTTGGGTTTTCTCCGGACACTCCGTTTGCCTCCAACACACAAAGCCATCCTCAATAAGCAAGCGGCCAAACATCCCAGGCAGGACCCTCTTCTAAAGGAACAGTTGAGACTCAGTGAGACCTTTGAGAATAATCGGTTATTTATTGTTTAAGGATGATTTAACTGCGGATAAGTATTTATTGTTTATCTTCATGGTAGTGACCATCAATGTTTTCTTTTTTAAAGATATCTATTTACTTGGTGTTGAGGGAGGCACCCTTTTTGTACATTTGTAATAACGTGTCTGCATTACATTTATTTTGTTGAATCTTGAAAGGATTACGGTATTTAACTTTTGAAAGTAGAAACTAATGACTTTTTTAATTTTGCCAGGTCAGGCCCCACTGAGCGAAGCAGCTCTTTTTTCAGACGTGACCTGGCCACAAATCATAGTTCGACGAAGTAGTTTATCATCTTCTTGGTTCTTTCGATAAAGTCACGTAGAATGGAAATAATAAAAATAAAACATAATAAAATACAATTCTCACGACGTTTCGGCCACAACACTCGTCATCCTGTGGAAGCAGCGGCCCCCCTCGTCACAGTAACGTGGAATTGCCACTGCCCGCCTCAAGGCCAGCAAAGGGAATGAGCACTGCTGTACCCTACATTTGAGCGTGGAGACATTTAGAATTCTCTCGATTTATTTTACCCACACGTACGAGCCGACGGTGATTTTCATGCACCCGTAATTATTTATTCTTGTTGTAATTTGAAACGCCGACGGACTTGACGGTCACAAAGACAAACAAAAATCTCCCCCTCCCCTCCAGGACA